TATTGGTTCAGAAGGTGGAAAAGCATTAGCAGATGCACTTTGCAAGAACACTACTTTAATATCTTTAGACGTTAGTGATAATAATCTTGGATCAGAAGGAGGAAAAGCGTTAGCAAATGCGCTTTGCACGAACTTCACTCTAACTTCTTTAGATATTAGTTATAATGATCTTGGATCAGAAGTAGGAAAAGCGTTAGCAGATGCGCTTTGCAAAAACGCCGCGTTAACTTCTCTGGATCTTAGCGAGAATAATCTTGGATCAGAAGAAGGAAAAGCATTAGCTGATGCGCTTTGCAAAAACACCTCATTAAAATCTTTGAACCTTCAATCTAATGAACTTGGATCGAAAGGAGGGAAAGCATTGGCTGATGCACTTTGTAAAAACAGCACGCTGACTTCTTTAAATCTTGGTAGAAGTGGTGTAAGTTGGACATCCAATAATATTGGATCCGAAGGAGGAAAAGCACTTGCTGATGCACTTTGCAAAAACACTACCTTGATCTCTTTGGATATTAGTGATAATAACCTTGGATCAGAAGGTGGAAAAGCATTAGCAGATGCGCTTTGCAAAAACACCACACTAACATCTTTGGATATTAGTTATAATTATCTTGGATCAGAAGTGGGAAATGCATTAGCTGATGCACTTTGCAAAAATACCACGTTAACTTATTTGAATCTTGCTAGTAATAATCTTGGGTCAGAAGAAGGAAAAGCATTAGCAAATGCGCTTTGCAAGAACACTACTCTGACTTCTATAAATCTTTATTATAATGAACTTGGATACGAAGGAGGAAAGGCATTAGTCGATGCACTTTGCAAGAATACCACGTTAACTTCTTTAAATCTTGGATCTTGGCCATCCGTCGTCCGATAATATTGGATCAGAAGAAGAAAAGCATTAGCAGATGCTCCTTGCAAGAACTTCTCCCTGATTTCTTTGAATCTCGGATCACAAGTAAAAAAAAAGCATTGTTAAATTCATTTTGCAATACCACACTGTCTGAGTCTTGATGAGAATAGTCTTGGAGTAATGGGAGGGAAAATATTACTAATCCATTTATAAGAACACCATTCTGTCTTCTTTGAATCTTCAATCTAATAATATTAAAATCAAACATTTAAAGTATGTAATTTACGATAAACATTAAAAATATCACAAATAGTTTATTATGCAATTATATGTAACAAAATAAATTATCAATAAAAAATATCAAAAAACAAATTTTTCGAGTAAAATTACGTGTAAAAACGATCTAGCAAATTAGAGGGAATTCGTGTTAAAAAACTTTAAATTTAAACGCGCATATGGATCACAGGTAGCTGCACGACGTTGCCACACCAAACGGGATTGTATATAATCAATAACTTGATCAAAAGCAATAAGTAATTAGATTAATGATGCTAAAAAATTAATGCATAAAGTAAATAAAGCGTATTAAGAAGCGTATTAAAAATGGTTCCAGAACGACCTTCCAAAAGCTATTTTCTGAAGGGACATAATTTTGACAAAATCGATTATATCAAATATTAGCTAAATTTTGAGAATCAAGTACTTAATTAAAATATTAAAATTAATATTATAAATAATTTGATTCTTGAGAGCCTAAACTTTAATAATAATTTTGCTTATTTTTTTTGAAAATTTCGTAAATATACTATAAGATTAGCTTGTTTAAATAATTTTGCTTAACGAGTTACTAGAGCTATTTAATAAGTGTTATCATAGCAAAAGATATTTCCTTAATCACATGTATCAATCAGAATGTCAGTTTTCATATATAATATTCTAATACGTGTTGCATTGGTTCTGCGTGGCATCATATGTTGCGCAACTAACCTAAATTAATTTTGATGTTAAACAATCTTCTCCAAATTTGGATTTTTGAACAATGTTTCACAAAATTTATTCTGGTCATATGGTTAAAAACGTACGTATGTACGTGCGTACGTTCGTCAAAGTCTGCTACTAAAATTCTTGGTCACTTTTCAATATGACAATATTACCGAATGAATGCTACTATATAATATTTAATAACCTCCAGTATAATTACAAAAATTTATTTTCATGTGCACTTGTAAACCGACAATGGTGTAGAATGATTATACCAATTTTATGGAGCGAACCAAAACACCATTATGAAGATATAAGACTTATAAGAATATTACTTTTAATGTTAAACGCTGAAGAGCAAGCATTATTAATTCCTTTTAAAATTACTCTTCCAAGCCATCCAAAACCACTATTTGAATATGCAAGTTATATCACTTCTATTAGCAATTATTTTTATGATGGAGTTAGATATTGGCTACGTAATAAAAGATATGAAACAGGATGTAGGCTCGAAAATGCCGTTAAATGTTCTTTGATTGCAATGTTTCTAAGAACTAGTAAGAATCTTAAATATTTAAGTCTTAATGAAATTATTTGCAATCAATTAATATCTGAAAATCTTTATGAGAACACTACTATTACCTCTATAGACTTATGTAATTTAAGCAGTGATTTTATATCAAAGGCAATAGACGTATTAGTAAAAATTCTTTATAAAAATTCTACCCTAACTTGTTTGGATCTTAGTAATAGAGGTTGGTCATCTTCCAATATTGTTGGATCAGAAGGTGGAAAAGCGTTAGCAGATGTGCTTTGCAAAAACAATACCCTGAAGAATTTGAATCTTCAAAATAACAACCTTGGATCAGAAGAAGGAAAAGTATTGGCGGATTCACTTTATAAGAATACTACATTGACTTCTTTGAATCTTGGTTGTAATAATCTTGGATCAGAAGGAGAGAAAGCATTAGCAGATGCACTTTGCAAAAATACCACGTTGACTTTTCTGGATCTTAGTGAGAATCATCTTGGATTCAAAGGAGGAAAAGCATTAGCTGATGCACTTTGCAAGAACAATACCCTGAAATATTTAAATCTTGAGTTAAATATACTTGGATCAGAAGGTGGAAAAGCATTAGCAAATGCACTTTGCAAAAACACCACGCTGACCTCTTTGAATCTTGGCAGGGGTGATGGAAGTTGGTTATCTAATAATATTGGATCCGAAGGAGGAAAAGCCTTAGCAAATGCACTTTGTAAGAACACTACCTTGATCTCTTTGGATATTAGTGATAATAATCTAGGACAAGAAGGTGGAGAAGCGTTAGCAGGTGCACTTTGCAAGAACACCATGCTAACTTCTTTAGATGTTAGTTATAATAATCTTGGATCAGAAGTAGGAAAAGCTTTAGCAAATGCGCTTTGTAAGAATACCGCGTTAATTTCCTTGGATCTCAGTAAGAATAATCTTGGATCAGAAGTAGGGAAAGCATTAGCCAATACACTTTGCAAGAATACCTCGCTGAAACATTTGAATCTTCAATCTAATGAACTTGATTCAGAAGGAGGAAAAGCATTAGCTGATGCACTTTGCAAGAACAACACGCTGACTTCTTTAAATCTTGGCAGAGGTGTTAGCTGGGTATCCAATAATATTGGTTCTGAAGGAGGAAAAGCACTTGCAGACGCACTTTGTAAGAACACTACCTTAATCTCTTTGAATGTTAGTGATAATAACCTTGGATCAGAAGGAGGAAAAGCATTAGCAGATGCACTTTACAAGAACAACACGCTAACTACTTTGGATATTAGTTATAATAACCTTGGATCAGAAGGAGGAAAAGCATTAGCAGATGCGCTTTGCAAGAACACTACACTGACTTCTTTGAATCTTGCTAGTAATAATCTTGGGTCAGAAGGAGGAAAAGCGCTAGCAAATGCATTTTGCATGAACACCACTTTGACTTCTATAAATCTTTATTATAATGAATTTGGATTAGAAGGGAGAAAAGCATTGATGAATGCATTTTACAAGAACACCGCGCTATCTTCTTTGCTATATTAATCTTGGCACTTTTGATTCGGTTTCGGGATTATAATTTCGAATCTTATTCAAAACTCGAAATGCCATCCGAAACCCGTTTGAAACTTTGAAACTTTATCCAAAACGAAATTGCCAGAACTTAAATTCTATATTATAAACCAATTTAACTATATATGTTCGATTATTCCTCAATTTATGTTATTTTGTGAAGTTAAAATAACTAGTTTACAGCATTTACCTGTGAATTTATTACAGGCACTATTTTATATTTAAGCGATACTAAAATAGAATCTTATAATCTATGGTTTTATACATTCAATAAATTTTTTTTTAGCAGAATTTATTTCTGATAGTTTATTTAATAATCAATTAATATAAAATATACATTTAATTTTAGTACTGTATAAAGATTATTAATAAATATATTAAATAGTTTATTTAAATTTAAAGCACAATACTGTATTTATTTTTGATTAAATACATTTTCTATTAAAATAGCGTTGAACCTCGCAAAACCGATCAAGTCAAAATCGATAACCTATCAAATCTGATAAAAAAATTAATCTATTAAGTTCGTTTTCGTTATATAAATCTAATAGTTTATGTTTTTAAATCTGGCAACCTCTCAAAACTGATACAAAAATCTGTCCATCATGCATATCGGTTTTCGAGAGGATGAATTATAATTTTTCTAAATAACAATAACAACAACAATAATAATAATAATAGTAATAACAATAATGCTATACCAAATTTATAAAAAATAAAGGGGATGTACTTTTCAGAAAATAGAAAAAAAACTCGAATCGCGAAGTGATTTTCAGATATCTTTAAAAAATGATATTTTCGTTTTATTGAAATTTATAATTTTATTTTGTAATTTTGCACTTAAATTTTTGGATAAATTAGAATTAATTACTTTGATTGATTAATGGGCTACCAATCTGCCACACAAAAGAGGCGAATGAAAAATTATAAATTTTGAAACGAGATTGAAACTATAGGAAAAAATTGTATGACGAAAAAATGCAGGTCTGGATTTTAAACGAGCTGTGCAATACGAGTCCAAAATTTAGGTTAGAAAATAAGTGTACAAATTTGACGGTCCTACGATTTTTTACCTTACATGCCGTTTATCCAATTAAGTTTAAGACATAACACGATAATTCGATCATTAATTGATATACAAGTCTTATCAGTTATGTTTGGCGTATAACGTTTCCAGCTTGATTTATTTTCAGAGTTCACACTATTATTTTGCTCAGTTTTAGTAACTAATTTGCTAATCAATTTAGCTGTTAGTGTCTATGAAGGCTAAGAATAATGTATATTACCGTATTTTCGCGTAATAATGTCCATAGGCGTTATATCGAATAATGACCTGAATTAAGCCTAATTTCGGCTGAAGTTTAAAGTTACATTCTTGGGCGTTTTGTCTCTCATCGAGTGGTGATAACAAAGAAACTATGAAATACAGTTATGGGTATCTGTCCCATCCGCTCATCGTGCATATGTACAATAGTGCAGAAATCGAAAGTATCGAGCAAAAAAATGAAAGTACTAAAACTGATGGCTTGCTAAGAACTAAGTGCTCATCGCAAGGGGTGGGGTGAAAAAACCAGATAATTTCGTCTGGAAAAAACCTCGTGTTCTCCTACGACTACTCTAAACTAAAAAAGTGGCTGTTGTCCGACAGGCCACCCTTATGTAAAAAACGTAAGAAATTTCTTCACACCTGTCATCCTGGCAGGCACAAACACACTTAAGAAAAACCTCTTGTGACTGTTGTCTCGACAGGTCGCTACCAAAAAAGTTTTTATGACTGTCATCCGACAGGCCATAATTAACAACTAAAAATCACAGTAACCTGGGGACTATCGAGTCGCCATGTACGAGGGCCAGGTAGGGTGGGGTGAAAAAACCAGACAAAGTTGGGTTAGTAGAAAAAACAGAAAATGACTTTTCCTGGTACAAACCCTGTTCCCCATAAATACTACTAACAATTACTAATTGAAATTACCATGTTATCACGTCACTATAAACTCAGGAAAAAAATTATATGAAAGTCAATCATCAATAAATCAAAATCACAAAGAAATCAAAATCACAAAAAAGACAATGCCCAATAGATCAAACAATAAATCAATGACCAGAATAATACATCATATGACCAGCAGATCCCATAATCGATTCAAGACAAAAAGCTGCTCTGATACTATCGTATCGGGCAGCTAAATTTGTCTCTTATTGAGGGGTAATAACAAAGAAACTATGAAATACAGTTATGGGTCTTGCCGAGAATCACTACTTAAGTTGCTTTATCTACTAGTCAAAACCCATTAGTCTCAATACTCCCATCTCGGTTATGCTAGTTGCCATCATATACAATTGCACTGCCCTGACAACTAGCTTCTGATTGACTGAATTTGCTTTATTGTCATGCCTCCTTGCATGGCTGCCATTGCGCTTCCAATCCTTAAACTATATGCAGTATATCTTCTATGCAGTTCTGCATTTTTAGCAAAATGTTTAACTATTGCTGAAATGGCTACTACAAACAACTTTTTTCTTGTTTTTGACAAGAACAACAGCTCTTCCACAGGAGTCCTAGTCCTTACCCTTAAATACAAGTTTAACAACTTTACTAGACAAAGCTTACTTTGCATTTTCTCTAATGGAATAAACTTTTCCTTCCCCAACTGATTCATTTTGAACTTTGCAATTTTAAACCACAACTTCTCATCTCTCTCTAGTATATTAGACCTTTTTAAATTACATAACTCTGCTGGTCTCCGCATTAGCCTCAATTCCAAAGCTACTAAAACTAAATCCCGTGCCCAAAACTCTACACTTATTCCTGGCGGTGGACACTCTATATAATGTCTAATTACCACAACTAGTAATAGGTCTTTTGGCCAACTAGCTCTGTTTTTTACTTGTGTCGCAACTCTTTTGCTTCTCTTTACTATTAAATGAATCAAGCCACCCTTTGTTGAGTCCTCAATGTTCCTAATTTTATGCTTCTTTGCCACTGCACCAAGCAAATTGACATTTTTGTTACTTTACTTAAGGCTTCAAGCTATGTAAAAAAAGCCATCAAAAGCTCTCTAGGTGCCAGATAAGGTGGAAAACTCATCCAGAGTGCAAATTTTTCAAAAACACTATGTGCCTTTTCTAAATGCTTTTTATAAGCACAACTAATCAAACTGTCTATCAAGTGTTAGCTCTTACAAGCAAGTCTTGAACCAATCCAGCAACATTGCTCTCAGGCACTACTGATCATTCCTGCAAGGCTTCAAATTCTCTGGAGTCCCTGGTGTCACAATAAGCTTTGTTGAAGGGGATCAATTTCGCTTCTAGATGAATTTAGTATTAAAGGCCACCACAGGCCGAAACCCAAACCAGTATTACAACAACCACCCATGCTCCACATTCCTGTGCATGGCAAAGTGCTCTGTGAATTTGCCTGAATAGGAGTACATGTAATTCTTTACTCCAGCCCAATTTTGGGCAAAGCAATTCACAGCTTTTGACCTCAGACAAAAATAATGGCTGTTGAACCTTCTGAGTTTTTAAATTTTGGTAGTCTGTGAATTTGTCTATTTTGAATTTTTCCTGAGCTAACTCCAACTGGCCCACAACCACCAAACTTAATATACAATCTCTCATATTGAACACCCTTGTTAAAAAGTCTGCCAGATTTAGCTCTAAAGGCACCCACTATGTATCAAAAATTGCCAAGTCACTCTTCACACACACTTTCCAAATTTGTCTTATTAAATCCTTTTTCACATCTTCAGGCCTCTTTTTATTATTGTTTTTAGAGCTACTCTGTTGTCAATAAACAAGATTACCCAAGTCCATTTTAATAGGTTCTTGAATAACTGCAATGTCCTTAGTATTGCCAATGCTTCTAACTGTGTAATCACTCTTGATGTATAGGTATGCCCAACTTTTCAAAGCCTTGTATTTGCAAAAAATCCCACACTAACTAGTTATTAAAGCGTCTATATAGACTGAATTTATCCAGGAGAGCTTCCAGGCTAGCTGGCCATTCTGCTTTCTTAATTTTTTCACTAACCACCTGATGTTTTTGATTGCCTGAGCTGACAAAAAAACCTCGTTGTCCTATTGCCAAGTATAATAGTTTTGTGTATCTATGAGTTTGTAAAACTCCATGCAACTCACTTGGCTAGAAGGAAAGCTCTAGACAAACTTATCACCTTGTCTGCCACTGAGGCCAAGTCTTTTGCCATAACTGTTGGTGCCTTCAATAAAGTTTCTAACTTTGCTATTGTTGATATTATTTTTTTCTCTAGTGCTACTATACAACCATTTACTATATCTACAATCATTCTGCAGAACTTTAATACTTGTGCCAGATCCCAGCTTCCTTTTTCCTAAGCCCTAGTTCAACTACAACCCTCCAAATCAACCTTTACAACCCTTTCTCTTATACTCAACAACTTTTTCTTCAATGAGTAGGCCAACTAGAGCTGTTATCCAAGTTGGCCTGACCTGTATGGGTTAGAATTTTGACAGGTTATGGGAGGACCCCTGAATACTAGTATGTTATATATATAAACCTTTGTCTTCAAACCTTATATAAGTATACAAATAAATTTTATTATTGAAGTATACAATTGCTTAAACTTTACATTTAAATGTATGACAAAAGTTTAATATAAGTTTTCTATACTTTAATAAGTGTACAATAAAGGTAAACCTAATA